TTTCTTTTTTCTTCTATAAAAGATAAGAATAAAAATAAGAGCAATGATGAAGATTGCACCAAATGTAACTGATCCAATAATTATACCTAGCATACCATTAGTTTGTTGATCAGCAGTAACACTAGTGGTTGCTGTACCTGTTGAAGAATCAGCAGTAACACTAGTGGTTGTTGTATCTGTTGAAGGATCAGCAGTAACACTAGTGGTTGTTGTATCTGTTGAAGGATTAGCACTGGTGGTGGTTGGTTCATTAACAGTGCTAGTAATGAATTTAGCTGTTGAAGGATCAAATGTGTCCAGCCATCTATAATTATATCTGTCACTAATATCTAATAATAAAATATTTGGATAGGGAAGTTGAGTAGTATGAATGTAACCTATTATTATTAAATATAAATAAAATTAATATAAACAAGTAAATATATTTTATATATAAATTTTAAAAATTATTATCATAAGTTACCAAATGAGATTATCATGTAATTTTTATATAAATTTGAAGTATGCCACCAATGATCTTTATCAATTAGATTAACAGGATAATTAGTAACATTTGTTGGAACTATCCATTGGAAAGGAGATTTTTTTACATCCAATATTGCTAATTTATCTGTATTAGGAGTACCACCATACACAATTATCCTTCCATCAGATGCTAAAATAAATAAGTATAAATTTAAAAATATATTTAATTGAATAATTAATAATAAATTAATTAATTTACTTAATACTGAAGAATATCCATATTTTGAAGAAGATATATCACCAATTGTTGTCTAATGTAATGAAATATTTATTAATATATTTTTTAGTTGAAAGTATTATTACTGATGATTATATAACTTACAATAATAGACCATGAATTTTGATTAAAATTATACAAGTATGATGATGTCATCTAAATATAATATGTATTATTAGAAAATATAACATTTTCATTCATTTTATTTTAATTAAATAATAAAAGAATAAATTATAATATTACTTGAGTGTCATGGAGATTAAAATAAAGTATATTTTCATCATTCAACACATGACTATTGAAATGATTTATGTTTGTTATAGATGGACCACCATTACTTGATGTTAAGGTTGTAAATATCAAACCTTTGGCATTGAATTCATATATATTTGGATCCTTATCATTATCAGTGAATATATATGTGTTTCCATTATTATCTTGTGTATACTTTGTTCTTCCAACATTATTTAATTGTAATTGTCCATTTAGGGTCTCTGGAGTCCATGTATCAAATGAATTTGTATTTATTGAATAAACTATAGATCCATAAGCTGTAGAACCAGGTTCTACACCTCTATATCCAGCTATAACATAAAGTGTGTCATTATTAACTCCTCCTAATGCTAATGATGCATGATAAAATGAAGGTATTGCTGATTTTGGAACAATTAGTTTTATTGGTAATGTTTGATTAAGTGAAAATGATGTGGATAAATCTAGATAAATTATTTGGTTTGTAAGTTCTAAAATGAAGGAAAATCCTCCAAAATAATAGAGTTTATCATTTAACACTATTGAATTATGATATGATATATCTAATGATTGACCAGAAACAAAAAAATTGAAACTATCTAATAAAAATAAATTGAAAATTATTATTAATAAATTTAATGATTTTAAATAGTTATGATGATGTTTCATTAAATTATCCATTTTTTTAAAAAAATTTATAGTATTAAAAATAAATCTGCGTTGCCTTCAAAAATGAATATTCTATATAAGGAAATTAATGTAAATTTTTGCTATTTCTCCAAATATTAAAAAATAAATCTATACCAGGTGTGCAATTAAAATTTTTACATGAGTAAAGCAAGTATTTGTTTGATTATTACCTCCAACTACACACCATCATATAGAAAATCAATATTGGATTTATTGCTACCGCCATTCTTGTTACTTGAAATGAGGATTAAAATCTCCTATTAAATAATGGTTCGCAATAAATAGTGTGACTTCATAGAATGTTATCTTACTATTTAAAAATCTTTCTCTGTGTGTGATAAACTTCAATAGAAATTTTAAATTGTTACTTAAAAACAAAATGTTTAAAAATATTTAATTTTAATAAAAAAACTGAAATAGAGGTTTTTGATATTAACTTTATTTAGCAAATTTAAGAAGAAATCAATCCAATTATATCAAAAAAAAAAAAGATTAAATGAAACAATTGACAATAACCATTATAATTGTTGAGAGTAGCAGTTCTTATTTTGACAATTTGATAATTATATATTGATGATATATATCATACAATTGTAACAAAAAATAATGACAAGAATTATTTATAATCATCTAGTTGGCTTCAGTACTTGCAATAACTGATTTTACTTAAGACCAATAAAACAGATACTTTTTAACTTTGGGAAAATGGTTCTGATCCGGTTTTTCAAGTGCAGTTTGAAATCAATCTAGAAATATGCTCATTCAAATCTGTTAATTTGTTCAAAGCATGCTTTTTAAGGGGAATTTTTTCTTTTATTTGACCTATAGTGGACAAATATCATGGTCAACTGCTAGTACTCCACCCTCTTGTCTGTTATGCTTTCTGAGAAACATTTAAAACATTCATAGAGCCAGTTGAATCAATGTGCTTCTATAAATGAAAACATATTAAAACTATTTGCCAAGTATTTTACTGGATTCCTTTTATTAACCAACTATTTATTTATATGATCATTCCATTTGTGTAAGACATTATTGCAACCAAATTGTTAATTACCTAAGAAATTTATTTCCTTGACAATTCGGGAAATTAAATAAACTACGGAGTTTATTTATATATGTGAGTGCCCATTACAATTTATAAAAATTGCCAGGGAATTCCATACACATGTTTATTTCTTTTTATTATGGTAAAATCCATTTACAATGTCAAAAAGATAAAACATTCACCAATTAATAAAAGAACTCCAACATCAATCTGCTTTCAAGATATTCTTCAATAAAATTCTTAACATAATAAGCATTTATGGCTTGATAAACCCTACATTAATATCAAGTTAATGCTCAAAATCATTTGCCGATTCAACTGATCCACCCAATTTATTTTTCTGTTTGTCACCAACTATTCCAACTATTTATCAAGTTTTTTTGCTTAATTTGGAAAATGGAAATTGGCTAGTGTTGGTCGCCAAAACTGTTTTGAAAAGGCGAAAGTCAAAACTAAAATTAAAAGTTATATGTCAAAACTAAATCAAAAGTTAATAGTCAAAAATCAAAACTAGTTTTGACTTATGGCGAAACCTTTTGGCTTTCGCGCGGCTGCGAAACTCTCTAGTTTTGGAAACCAACACTAAAATGGACAAAGATGTCACTCAGCCTATAAATATATATACACCGTCAACCAACAACCCTCTATGAGGCAATAAACAAATTTTGTTTTAATATTCAAAAATAAAAAAACCGTTTAATAAAAAGAATAGAGAATTAATGTAATAATAAAATATACTTTGTTGCTATATCGCTTTACAAAATCGTTATTAATATTAAATACATACAAAAATAATTTCTAAACAAATAAATAATAACAATTTATCTTGTTTTCCTTTGACCTCTACCTCTCTCTACCTCTGCCTTGTCTTTCATGGGTTTTTTTTTTCATTATTATCATCTTCGATAAGAATTGTTCTATCAATATCATCACCATCATTATCATTATTGTTATCATTATCATTATTAGACACAGAATTTCTATGTTGGTTAGCCTCAGCTTCACCTAATTCATTCATCGTCATACTGTATAGATCTTCTCTCCGCTTACACTCTTGATAAATACAACAGAGGATATAATATTTTTTTTGTTTAAGAAAGAGTAGTAGTATACATGTATAATTTATACTGGTTTTGGGCAAAAGATGTCTTTATATTCATATTATTGTAAAGATCACGTGTAATCCAAAAGGAGGAGGTGTTAACATTAAATAAATAAAACTTGATTTCTTTATAATTTCAGAAATATCTGTTTTTAAACGAATTGACCTCATTAGCAACCTCTCGAGTTTTTGACAACACCAGGCAGGCTTAGATGCTTCAAAAATAAAATGTTGATGTTTCGCAGGCCATTTAATTTTTTAAAATAAACTCCCAAAATAGATTTGATATCCAAGTATTGAAAGCCTTTTCCACCTTCGTATCATTGAGTTTAGCAGTACTTGATTTTTTCACCACGTCGACAACGCAATCCACACAATCTACACTTGTTTTTCCATAAGGGATCTTGATCAAGCCAAAATTACCATCACATTTGAATTTGGTATGAAATTTAATTCGATACTTTCATAATAATCACAATTGCTAAATGATTTTTATCTTTATTTTATCTGTCACAAGTAATCTTTAAATGTTTTTCGCCTTTGTTCAATTTCTTAATTCCGTCAAAAATCGTGCCATTTGGGACCTTCCCTATAATCTCATCTTCATCAAGAACATAATTAATTTGTTCCCTTACTGCTTCATCTTGAATACCATATTAATATAAATGGACTTTACACGGACTAAGTTAATAAATCTTGATCAGAATGTGGTACATGCCAACGCCTACACCAACCATCAACATCAGTCAATATATACTTCTTCAACACATTCTCAATATTGAAAAGATCCAATAGGGGACTCTCCTGATCAGGAAAATTTAACAAATAATTGGTCATTCATTACACGTTTTTCCCGCATGTTAACTTTGACTTTTGATATCATAAAAAAAGGCGCGTATACTCTGGATTAAATAATAATAATAATATTTTGATATAAAATTGACATGATTATAAAAAAATTTGCTTTGACCAAGATGATTGGTCAGTTGATACAAAATTAAATTAATTGTAGATTTACAAAACTTTTAATAAATAATTCTTCAAAATTAGTCTTTGTTTTTTTTGATTTCCATTTAAATTATACTAGCCAATTCTATGAACTAACTCTATGAATTAATTCTATGAACTACATGAACATTGTATTTCATGTCCCCACTGTTTTATATTTATTTCATATAATGATAGAGAGAATTATGATTAGTATAATGGTAAAGCCAAAAGTCAAATTCAAATTCTATTTTAAAAAATTCCAAAAAAAAACTTGCCTCAGGAACAATTCCACAAAACCTTGCTTCCTCTTTCAATATTTCCTCATTATTAACAGAGTCATCATCACTACACCAAGTCTCATTAAAAGGTTCTTGGCACATTTTCAAAACTCTTTTCAACACATCAACACCAACATCATTATTTCTCTCAACTCTCTTAATAACCTCATCAAGTACCCAATTTCTTAACACAAATTTTGGATTGGTTTGTTTCATCGCCATAATCCTATTTCTTTCCAACGATTCATCAAAATTTTGATTTTCTTTTATTAATCTTTTCAAATATGATTCCAAAAACCATCCTTGAAAATCTTTCAATATCATCTCCTTCTCTTTTGAGTTTACTTCTTTTTGAGTTTTTTGCGTCAATAGTGTTTTTATAATATTTTCTGGCAGGGAACCATCACCACTGACCGAAGAAGAAAAGTTGAGAATTGAGAACGAAGAAAGCGAATAAAAAAAATGATGATAATCTATTGAATGAGCTGATAATAAATTTAATAATGGAGTTATAATATTGTCCAAGTCATCTGATTCCATTGTGTTAAATCCTAATTTCTATTTTTGTAGCATTATTGTATTATTAATAAAGTTAATAATATGTTGCATTAAAATCAGTACAATCGTTACAATTGTCTTACATACTTTACACATTAAATTTTCATATTCTTTAAGAAAATTTTCTTGAAATTCTCCCAATATCAAATCAATGATTTCCTCGCCTCTATTAATAACTTTTTGTTGCTCATCATCGCCATCATCATCACCATAATTATTTGCTATAAACTTTTGTAAAGTGTTTTCATCATTACTGTCAATAGCATTTCCCAAACCAATTAATTCTTGAAATGTTATACCCAGCTGTAATAAATTCCATAAACAAGTTACTGGTTGATTTTTAAATGAATATCTTCCCTATCATTTAAAATGTATAAATTAATTAATAATTTTTATTTATTTAATTATGTTTGCGATATATTTTTGTTGATTAGATTAAATATTAGGATCATCGTCTACCTCATAATCAGAATGATTACATATCCAACCTGGATTATAAACATCTAAAAATCCATATGGTCCATAATCAATGGTTAAACCTACGGCAACAACAAAATTGATTTATTTTAATGAATTAAAATAATATATAAGAAATAAATGAATAAATAAATATGCAAGCTACCAAGGATAGACATATTATCAGTATTCATAACACCATGACAGAACCCTATAGCTTGCCATTTTGCAACCATTAAAGCGGTTCTTTTTGATACTTCATTAAACAATCTACCAAACTTGTTCCCGTACTTGTCATTATTACCATCGCCTTCACTATTAATGTTATACAGGTGTTCACAAACAAATTCAGCCAATTGTAATAATTCTTTTTTCTCTTTTCTATGATAAAAAATCTCAAAACTACCAAATCTTATCCAACTTGGTGCCAATCTACAAACAATCGCCCCTGTTTCTATCGACTCTCTTATCACTTTACGTTTTGGTGTATGAACTAGTGATAATGCTCTTGATGTTGGGACTCCTAATGCTGCCAATGCTAAATTTTGAACGGCGAGATGATGAATAGAGGAAAGATATGAGATACGTGATGGGTGATGGAA